ACCATCATACTTTATGTTAGCTCACTTCCCCATCTGATTAATAGGGTATAGATGGGATCTTGCTATGACTGGCAGAATTGAGTTCATGTGAAAAACTAAATCAGATTGATGGCAGCAATTCTTATTCCAAGTGCTATGTCATCCTCAGAATAGAAGCACTGGTCCTACAACTGAAAAGGCATTTTAAGAGCCTATAATGAACTGCACAGACTGAATTGTTTCATTAAATTAAGTTTAGCAGTGGGCACTTGCCTTACAAGGTAATACAAGTAATTGCTAGGCATTTTAAAGATGCTTTACTATGCTTCTGTGGTTAAATCTACACAGGTTTAGACAGTGTGGGGCTTAAAATACTAAGTGATTCTTTAATAGAGATAGTGTCTAATTTAGATGCAAACAGACTTGATGAGGATAAGAGTATATGAGAGGATACCTTCTGTTCCCTTCCAATGGTGCTTACAAGGAACAGTCATCCCCAAAGTCTAACACAGACCACTTACTCCTGTCACCTGGAAGTGTTTGTCAAGCAGAGGGACTCCTGGGATGTAATACCTCCCATCTCGTGAGTCAAAAGCCACATGTTGCATAAGCATCCTAAATGATACCATGCAAACCAAAGTTCCAGACCCAAGTTTTATTAAAACACACACATATTCTCTTACTCAGCGGCAGACGTGTGGAGACGTAAGTATCAGTCCCCAGGAAGAGCTGCAATCTTACAGCCAGGGGCAATGAGAGGGTAGTGATGAGCTGCCCTGTGCAAAGTGGGGACCTCACCTCACCGCAAGTGCTTGACCCAGCAGATGCTCACTAAACTTGTGGTAGATGCGATGAGGGTGTAGATGGAAAAGGACTCCATGAATACTCCCATTCCTACCTACAATGCTCTAGGGATTTGTCACACCCATTTGTCCAGTCTCTAAAAGAAAATGGGTTCAAGCATCCAGAATCCAACAAGAAGATGAGGCTACTCTGAACACAGGTATAAAAATCTCTAGGATGCAGTCCCTGTACCTTTTTCTCTCATCACTAGCAGGCAGGTTTACCTCTTTCCTTGGTTTGCCAAATAAACATTGATGTTCATGTAGTATCTTTACTAATCCATGTAGGCCAAGAAGGTAACTAACAGATAAGAAAGTCTCATCCTAATTGACAAGAGTGTGGATATGTATTCGGAGACTCTACACCATCACTTAGTAAGGGCTTCTTGAACTTCTGATGTGGTAATCTTACAAAGTTGAAAATGGAGGACTTTTAAGTAAGTAAAGAGAAAAAAAAATACATAAGGATTGTCTCTCAGGTCATATGCCTGGCATTTCTCCTTTGAAAAAGGATTCTTGACTTGAAATGTTTACGTCCTAGGGATGCCAAGTATATTCCATGCTGAGGAAAAGGAAGATAGACATGGCCTCTACTATGACAGAGCTTACAAAGCAAAGCACAAAGACTCTGAGGAAGTCTTTTCAAATGTTGTATAAGGAGATATGGAAACACATAATGGCCTGACCCATAGGCTTGAGTCAGCAAAAGCTTCTTGGAGGTCAGGATGATGACTTGAAGGAGCAAAGAGAAAGATGTCTGAAGTATTTGCTTGAGGGAAAAGTCTGGCAGAGTTAGAGGGAATGTGGGACTCTATTTGAGCTGCATTGGGAACTAAGGTCTCAATGACAAGTATCAGGAGGTCACTGATAGTTTTAAGGGGAGTATTTAGTATCAGAAGAACTTTTAAGATTCAAACTTCAAGGCCCTAGCCTAGAAGATTCTGGTGGGTTGGTGCAGGTCCCAAGCCTAAACTTTAAGGACACACAGGGCATCTGATGTGCAGCAGTTTGGGCTCTGATGCTATAGAGTTACCGATCGCCCATAGGCGTAAGTCAGGTAGGTGACTTGTAAAATAGTGCTGAGGCAGGAAAGGACAGACACATGACTTGCACTATTCATTGACCTTGCCTGTTAGATTAACCCCTGAACCAAAAGCCATACCAGCACATCACTCACTTGGGGACTATCTGGGACAGGTAAATGGGTACGGAGACGGCACAGTAGCAACTATCAGCCCACAGCCTGCGCACATCCCAGCTGCTTCTTCGGTACATGCAGGCCTGATGCTCAGCTGCTTCATCTGGAGGACTCAGAAGGAAACGGGTGTGTGAATAGTTCTATTCCCCTGCCCCTACCCAAGACAGGCTCTGAAATGCGTGGTCTACACTCTACACAGGATATTCCCAACAGGTCTGTACCGTGCTGCCTGCAGCAGTAACTGGTGTGACCGGTAAGCTGTTTCTGATCGCCTTCCCTTTACTTCCTGTCCCCTACCGAGGCCTTCTTCACCTCCCAAATAAGACACTTGCAACCACTCCATCTCACAGCTTGCCTCTGGAGTGCAAATGATCTAAGAAGCACAGAATGGCAGCTAAATTTTAACACGTTAAAAACTGATACACAGAAAACTGGCTGAACATGTGAGGAGAGCAATGGTCATAGGAAGGAAAGAGAATGTAGACACTGTGAAAATCATCTCATTTGAACAATCTCTTCCATGCAGCCCTTACTCTTAGGAAATGAAGGAAATATGCCTTGAATATTTCTTTCTTTAAAAAATATTTTGGAGTTGAATATTTCTATTCCTTAAATCTAAAATGTGCCCAAAGCAAAAATTTCTCAAGTGTTTTTTTTTCTTTTTTCTGAGCATTTCAGATTAGGAATGCTCAACTTGTAAAGTTTAGGCAACTATAACATTTTTAAAAATCCCAAATTGGAAACCTTCTGATCCCAAGAGTTTTAGATAAGATATGTTTAACCAGGCCTATTAAAGAAACAAATAAACAAGGAACCTATTCCTCTTTCAGAAACTCTCATAAAAAATACCATTCAATAAATGCTGTGAAATAATCCTTGTTGCTCTCATTGTTTAAATAAAAAGCCGATTGGCCAATAGCTAGCAGGATTTTCAGGGCAGAGAGAAAATATCTAGAACAACAACTATCTTCCTATAAGCCCAGGTAGGACACCAATAAATTAATACTAAATCTGTTTTGTAAAATATTCTTGTATATTTATTTTTAGAAAATTTTCTTTTTTTAAATTTCCCTGCCAGGGATAGTATAAGCCATGAATGAGTATGAGATTACTTACTACACTTACATGCCAAAGAATTAAAGTTTTAATTAAGCAGAAAGTTCATAATTCTCATTACCTTAAAAAAAAAAAACTGTGTGTATGTGTGTGGTAGCAGTAGTGTGTGTGTGTGTGTGTGTGTGTGTGTGTGTGTGTGTGTTTGGGAAATGTGTACACTTGTGAAAGCCAGACATCGGCTCCCCGATCACTTTTTTAGTTTTGAGATAGGGCCTCATTGAACTTGGAGTTAGCCATTTCTGCTAGACTGGCTGGCAGGGAGCACACAGGATCTACCTGTCACCACCTCCTAGCCACTGACGTTAAACCAGTACTGGTGCCTGGCTTTTACATGAGTGCCAGAGCTCCAAACTCAGTTATTCATGCTTGGGCAGCATGGCATGCACTCACACTGAATCATCTCTCCATACCTCAATCATTATTAACCTATAACCCCTTTGTATGTTTTTGATTGTTCAAAATGGAACTGATGTGCTTTTTCTTGGTCATCTAGGAAGAAATAAGGAATCCTATACAACTAGTTATGAAGAATACCTTGTATCTCTTTCTCATGCCTTACATACTAAAACCAAGACTTTGGTCAATGCTGATGCAGAAAGGGACAATTGAGAAGATGCAATTAAAGCAGAAAGGCTCTTGAACAGTTTAAATTCTTCTGTTGACTAGTTTTATGACACAAGTAAGTCATTTGGGGAAAGGGGAACCTCAATGGAGAAAATGCCCCATCAGATTTGCCTGTGGACAATCCTGTGGTACATTTTCTTGAATGATAACTGGTGTGGGAGGGGCCAGCTCTCTGTGAGTGTTGCCACCCCATGGGCTGATGGTCCTGGGAGCAAGCCAATAAGCATCATTCCTCATTCTCTGATGGTCTCTGCACCAGCCCCTGACTGCCAGGTCTTGCCCTGTTTAGAGTTCCTGCCTTGATTTCCCTCAGTGACAAAGTATGTGGTGGAAATGAAAACTGAAATAAATTTACCTCTTTGCCCCCAAGTTGATTTGGGTCTATGATGTTTCATCACAGCAACAGACATGCCAAATTAAGAAAAACTCTGAACTCTCCAGACAAGGCTTCAGGGTTTCCAAGAAGGATCAAGTCCTGTCTCTACCTCAAGGAGCACATTCTCCTACCATTAATCCCTGAATAACCCCAGCCTGAAGTAGATCATTTCCCTCAATATCAAGAAGACACACTGAAATTAGTATAACGCACACACAGGATTTAAAACGTAATGCCGAGGGGTTTTTGTTGTTGTTTTTTGCTTTTTTAACAGCTTCACAGTTTTCTTACAAGAGGGAAACACACCAGGGAAAATGTAGAGCTTCCTCTAGACACAGCTTCCAGCCTTGAGTCACACTCTCCTCAGCACTGAATTGGTTTACATATGTATTTATTTGTCAAGAAATCACACTGTGTTGCTCAGACTGATCTTGAACTAAGCAATTCTCCTGCATTAGCCTTGCAGTGGCTTGGTGCATGTCATCACAGCCATGCTCAGTTAAAGACTTAAGGGTGTTAGGGAGATGGAAGACTCTTTGACCTCTTGGTCACATACGTTAGGATAGATAATAGGGCCTTTCCAAGAACGGATACCCATTATTGTTTTACAGTAAATGAAGTCCTTCTTTGTTCTGTTTTTGAGGCAAGGTCTGGTGTAGGTTAGGTTGGCCTTAAACTATGTAGTGCTTCTCCTGTCTCTACCTCCCCAGGGTTAGGATTCTGGGAGTTCACACCAACCTGGCAAAATCGCGTGCATTTCTAACAATCCACAGGAAAACATTGCCACAAAACGTAAAGCATGCAAGACGACAACCTGTTCAATGAGAGTGCTTCTGGACAATGTAAGCATCATCACTTTAAGTACCTGGTTTCAGGAGACGATGAGCTTTCACTTGTGTCTGTCCTTTTACTTCTTGGAAATGATGGACTAGATGGAGGCATCTCACCACTTAGCCGGTCTGGAAAAATGCGGTCTTTATTCAAGTTGATTTCTGAGTAGGGGCAGTTGGCACCACTAACAGATCAAAAGAAGAGAAAAGTACACTCCCATTAGATCATAATTCCACAATTAAAATTGTAGGCTAGTGAATAATAAGATTCCAAAATTGGACCAAATATGTTATATATGCGTGTGTGTAAATGTGTGACTAGACATATAGCCATAAAATATCTCTTTACAGATAATTTAAGTTCATTCCACCAGTGAACATACCTGAACCAGGAGCATTCTGCTGCAGCCTCTAGACTGAGCAACAGTCAGAGTATTCCTTTGGTACTTTTTATAGGTAAGGCCTATGCATATGTCTGGGAATAATCAGCCACAAAAAATACCCACACTTGAGACATTCATAACCATTTAATTTCTCCTATAACATTTAGTAACTTTCAATGTCCCGAAGGAACACTAGTATCTCTTGGAATATAGTTACAGCTGGTTTCCTAGAGAACACAGAAATGCTTTGGGGCCAATTCTAACCCTGGTATGAAAAGGGGCCACAGGCCAACCTTTCCTATCTGCCCTTAGAGGGTGTTCTCTGAGGTCACTGGGTATTAACTTGGCATTAGCTAGCAGATGCCTGGCCTGGGCCTTAGCATTCCAATCTCTAAAACATCTGGGTTCCACTATACACCAAGTTCTCCAGTTGGCTGCACATCTTACCCCTCTGCTTTGAGAGGCCTTCTTAAGTCTGGAAACCATTTGGACACTAGATACCTTATATTAGTGCCTTGTGTGTTCTTTTCCTTATTTTCTATGATAGTAAGAATATTAACAATCACCCAAGGGAACTTTTTTAAACAGTGCATATGTATTTTGTACCAAGAGAAGCAGAGACACTCTCCTGGGGAAAGAAGAGAGCCACCTGAAATGCTCCCTGGTAACTCTAGGAGTGACATAAAGTTCATCTCAGATATTGTGTAAGCAAAAATGCAAACTTTAGTAGGCACATGCTGCTCTACACCTGTACTTTAAGCAAAAGTAGTAAGACACTGTCATACATTTATATAACATCTGTCCAACAACAACTAAAATATACCCAAAACACAATTGACAGCATCCTTTATGGAGCTCATATGGTATATTAAGCAATGTGCTGTGCCTATACACACTGCTTTAATATTTCCAACCCCCTATAAAAAGGCATTTCATATGATGCAATAGGTTTTAAAATGATTAAGCAACTTCAGTCTTTAATTTTCTCAATGTCAGCAAGTATTTATCAATAAGTATGTATTGTGTTAACCACCTTTCTAGGTATTGTGAATAAAAAAGTGCGGAGGTGAAAATTCTGGCCTCAGTGAGTGACAGTCTAGGGCAGTGGTCTCAACCTTCCTAACACTGTGACCCTTTAATACAGTTTCTCAGTTTCTTATTTTCATTGCTACTTCATAACTGAAACTTTGCTACTGTTATGAATCTTAATGTAAATATCTGTTTTCTGATGGTTTGGGGACTCCTGTAAAAGGGTCATTTGACACCCCCAAAGGGCCGAGGCCAAAGACTGAGAACCGCTAATCAGGAGAAAATGGGCAATGCCTAATCACACAAAGAAGTTACATAACTTTACACTGGAATGGCTTCTATACAGAAAGTAAAAGAATGTAGCACCAGGGAGGACATGAAGATGCTCTGACGGGCGGTGAGGAAGGGCTTCCCTAAAGGTCAGGACAAAGTTGCTCATGTCTACTTCCCCACACTTAGGAGAAAGCAACACAACACATGTGAGGGACAATGAGGCTAGGATGGTGAGACGTTGAGATGACAGGAAGCAGGAGATGCAGGAGAGGTACCATGCATGACAACTAGGCCACAGTCAGCAGTTCCAGTTTTATTTGGGGTTCAGTGTGAGGCCTCTGGGAAAACTCTAAACATGGGATGTGATAGGAATTGATTTGGATGTGTGGGATGGAAATGCAGGGAAGGTTAGGGGACTGTCAAAATCTCTTAGTGTCCCACGATGCCCCGCAGATCAAGAGACAGTTTTGATCTATAGGGATCCAGAATGGCTTGTTGGTTTGCAGTTTAAAGAACATGAGGCAAAAGAGACACCCTTCCTCCTGCCCTCCCCCCTAAGTGATTAGTGGGAAGTGAATTTGGAGCAAAGACAATAATTATGGAAAGATTATTATTAGGCATCTAAATAAAAGTGCTGCTTGCCTGAGGTCACACAGCAATGAAACAGCTCAGCAAAATGAGTCTCATAACAGGAGTACTCATAACAGGAGTACTCATAACAGGAGTACTACTTCAGTCAGTCACTCTATGAAGGGAAATCTAACCACATCACCCATTCAAACACTCTGCATGGGGTCCTGCTTGGGATACCCGAACTTATCAAGTGTTCATGGGAACAAATTTCCAAAACTGGTTCTGCCTAACGTGAACAGAGACTTTGAATGAGGCAACTAGCAGCTAAGCTGGAAGGCAGACAGCTAGGTGTGGGCAGCATGCAGGACCTAGAACAACATATCCCCTTAGAAACTATCTGCATGGGATGAGGTTGTAGGGGACAGCACACGCGTGCCCCTCTTAGCCTGTCCACTACCTTGGGGTTCTGACACATTCCTCAGTTTCATGGAAACTACAGACACAAAGCCTCACCAACCTGTGATCCATTCCCCAAGACAGAAAGCCCAGACGGCAGCATTGTGGGAGTGTTTGGGTCTTCAGCTACCCAAATGCACTGAGTTGCCACCTGGCTATCTTAAGGTACAACACTTTCCTTAACGGCAAGCTGCGGCTCAACCAGGGTACGAATGTCCACTGAAGTCCTATTCAGATGTCTGAGGATCACCTCACAACATACCATCTTCCTACAGACATCAAAAATTATATATAACCAGCTCCTCCCAAGCTCTCCAGTCTCTGATCTGACCAAGGAATCACGTTGGTCCAGCCTCAGATCTCAGTCATCTCTGATGCCATCCTTTCTAGTGCATATTTTTTATTGGATTTATGCACTTCAATTTGGGGGCGATAAAGGAAAAATCCAAAGATAGTGTTTTGGTTTCTTTTGACAAACAGTATTGTGCTAATCCAGCAGCAACGTATAGTTGAACTTCACTCAACCCTTAAGCCCCTGGCTTAACAAGCAGTGAACTACAGTGTGTGTATTTACTTTGGATGGGATCGGGATTGAAGAACACACCACCAGCTTTAAACAATGGGAAGCCATGCAGGAATTTTGGATGGTGAAGGTCCCCAGTGAAATAGCAGTTACAAAGCAAACGACTGTATTCAAGCTCTATGGAAACAGCTCTTTGCTTTTATTGTTGACTAACTGGAAAACTTGGGGATAGTTCAGAGAAAGGCAAGATGCTGGTCGGGAGCCTGCTGTCTACATGCCTGTTTTTTGTTTCTTTGGTTATTTCTTTTCAAAACAGATTGCCCTAGCTCTTTCAACCTCTCAGTTGAATGAGAAAAAAAATCCCGTCCTTCTGAAGAAATTCCCTAATGAGTGAGGCAGTCTGCCCTACCAAGGGATCCATGTGATGGTCAACCACAGATGTTCATGAAGTCTCTCTCTTCCTTCGAACCCTGAGAAACCTTCACTCTTACACCTGCACAGGGTGGAGTGGAATGCCAGCTAGCTCCTGCAGTTGGAGGTGAAGACTAAAGGGGATAGGACAGAATGTAACGGAGCACCACAGCAATGGCAGAGTAAGAAATGTTTCAGGAGAACCAACGGGCCCGGCAAAGAGCTCTGTCACCTCATCCATGCACAGTGATGAGCATCACAGTTTCTGAGGCCAAGTTTTCATTTCAAAATGATGATGCCAACAAAAGTGAACATGCCTTACCCAGGCGAGCAATGTCCTTGTCTAGCATTCATCCGCACTAACATGGAGGCAGCTCCCAGAGTGCTCATTTGACAGACACCAAAAATGAGGCTTCAAAGAGGACTTATAGACTGCCACACGTTCTTGGTGGAGTTCCATCATAAAACCTGGTTCTTGTTTAATTGCTACCCAATATGAGTAAATATTAACTTGTATCATGGAAGAATTTCCTTTTCCTAATCCATGGTAACGACATAGATCTGAAAGCATCTAAGAGCTGTGGCTGCCCACCTCTTACAAAGCACACAGCAATACGTGCTGCAACTTTCTCTGTGCAGGGCTCCAAGTCCTTTACATAAATTGATTCTTCCATCACACCACTCCTATGGATGCCATCATCACCTACATTTTATAAGTGAAGACACTGGCAGAGGAAAAGTGAAATACTGTTTCAAGATCCTAAGGCTTACCTGCTGCCTTTCAAGGCAAGCCAAGCTACAGATTTAAGTTTTTCCTTATCTTGTCTCCTATTATCTAGCCCTTGGGGTAGGAATTACAGTGAAACTCATAATTAAGCATGCTTTCAAGGACTTGAGATCACTTCCATGCCTGTTGTTTAAAGGAACAAAAGACGCAAGGTTTGTATCACTATCACAACCACTGAGTTCAATGTTTCTTCTGTTGTATTAATGTAAAGATAAGTTCTTAAAGATTTATTCTTAATGCGCGCGTGTGTGTGTGTGTGTGTGTGTGTGTGTACTTGTGAGTACAGGTGCATACAGAGACTAGAGGCACGAGCTCCCTCAGAGCTGCAGTTATAGGCAGTTGTGAGTCACCCAATGTGGCTGCATTTTCAACTTAGTAACTTTTAAAACTCTACATAAACTTTGAAAACACATCAGGCTTTGTTAACGTCTAAGGAAAGAGCAGATTCCCATTGGCCTCAATTGAAAATGTCTAGTTTCTCATGTATTGTTTTTAGCAACTAAATTTTATTAAGGTTTGATTCATTACAGTATGTTTGCGTTCCATCATGAGTGTTCGTTTTCTCTCATGCTCATTTCCCTCTTTCCCTCCCTCCTTCCTTCCCTACCCCCTGCCTTCCTTTACTCTTTTTCCCCTCCAGTCATTCATCCAAATACAATCCTTTCAGGAAAGAACAGCACAAACCCTATGAGAGCCTTCCCTAAAAAGACTTTATTATGGCACAAATATTAGCAAATTATTGCACACCAACCATTTGACAAATATTTGCTTCCAGAGCCTCTCAGGAGGTTGTTTGTAAATAAAAGGGCTACCTTGTCCTCTGCTACCCACCGCCATACAAAAAACCCTCTTAGTTGTAACTATCCATATTCAAACAACTAGGCAACACAACCAGTTTAAGCATCCAGTTTAAGTGTGTGCTGTTCTCACACACAATACTGACAAGCATACAGGACAGGCTGTATCAGGTGACTGTTCTGCAAAGGGGCCTGATGGGAGCAGTAGACACAAAGGTCATCCTGGGCTGGAGTGGGTTCTGTTTCTATCAGTGTCCCATCCAGGGCATTCACTCAACCATTCCAACGTTTCCTCATCATCTCTAAGTGGTACTCAACTCATAGACTTGCTGAAAGGATTACACGTGGCCATACACACAGCCCGAGAACAGTGGCTGTGATAGAGCAGGTCAAGCCCATTACCAACGAGGTATTTACCTCCATTGTGTAAAGAAAAAAAAGTCGGCAAAGATAAACAGTGGTATGCAAAACATATTTGAGTGAACTCTACTACATTTGGAAATAGCTAATGCTTTACTGAGTACCACCACACCTACCCCCTTAGATGTGGGACCCCTCTTCTGTACAGCCACCAAAGCCGGTTGACCCAAAGCAGACACTCAGCAGTACATGAGAGCTAGGCGGATGGATGCTGAATGAGAACTAGTTTTCAGATGTGCATCCGTGGTTATTAATTTGCAAAACACTCCACGGATTTCAAAAATATTCTCTAGAGACTGGGAAAAATAAACATTTTCTTGCTTAATTTCTAAAAGAGCAAACTGTAAGTATCAAAGATGTACTTCTGGAGGCAACACATATGTAGAATATCTACTTTTATGTAACTTCAGCTCTCTTAACCTCAAGTGGGTGTGGTTTTTTTTTCTCCCCATTCTCAGACCTCTGAGTAAGCCAAGAGTGAAACAACAAAAGAATGCCAATGTGTAACTTGTACTTACACTTTCTTCTGGAGAGTCAGAGTTAAGCAAGCTGGCTACAGAATATCTCTAGAGATGAGAATACCACACCACACATGCAACTCTAATCGCATTTCATAATAAAGAAAGACTGCGTCCTCAAGCTGTGTTATCAAATGCATATTCTGCTTCTAATGTTTCTTAGACCAAACATAATTTGTAATCTTCGGGGAGAGTCACAAGCAAATGGTAGCCAAACTACAATCTTTTGCTTATGTGCTCATAAAACTATCCTTACTGAAGGAGCAACTTTCTTTGTTATCTATGTAAAGAATGTATGTTTTGATTTATCCAGTTTCTCAGTAAATTAATCCAAAGATAATTTCCTCATTATGTTTTCCTAAGCACAGCATTCTCAGCAAGGACAGGAATAATTGCCAGTAAAATGAACCTTTCAGAGACTATGTACGCCGCAGCAAGCTAATCCACAAGTGTACTGATGAGATGGAAAACAGGCTGGGCCCGCCAAGGATTAATGTCCTGCCAAGAAGACAGCGCGGAGAACTGTAAATTATACAGACTGCACAAGGAGTACGGAAAACCTGTGCACAGGCTGGGAAGGGTGAACCGCACAGCTGGGACCACAGTCTTATTCTTCTGTCCAGAGACCCTGCCCACCAACCCCACACAACAAAGATCCCAGTAGCCGTGCCCTGCATGCACAAGAAAATCACTAGTTTTTGGTCAAGCCTTGTCTTTTCAGTCAGAATCTATACTCTGCCGCTCCTTCAAGAAAACGAGCAGTTCTTTAGCATGGTTCCAATTACTCTAAGTTTCCTTTCCACTTTTCTGCATGTTAGTCTTTGAATCGTCCCATAATTTACCTCTTCTAGTAACAAGCACAATACTACCTATCCTATCCAATTCATCAAGAAACTCCCCAAAGACAACCACTAAACTGTGGGAGCAGCTGGGTTGGAGGAGACTAAGGGTAAAAAGTGGCTGGGTGATGTGACGTGGTTGTCACTAGAGACTTGGCTGCCACAAACTTTCCTACTTGGACCCATGCACATGGTGTGGTATTCTCATATCTAGAGATATTCAGTATGCACAGTGCTGTACGGTGCATGTCATTCCAGAGCTAAGTACAAATTTTAAAAAGCCAACTGTATCCTAACAATGTCAGCATTTACCCAATTTAAAAATGTCTTAGTTCTTTTCTTTCAATTTGAGGAAACTGCCTTTAGTCTAATGAACATCATGGGACTCTACAGCAGTAATGTGGACGAGCCAGAGACCTTCATTATAATTTTGTATCTTATACCTAAAACGATGAAGTGTGAGGGGAGATCCTCAGTGTGGGACCGAGTCATGGAGCAGTGTTCGGAGGGACGCTGAGACCACAAAGGTCAAGACGAGACCCTTCAACTCCCCTCATCAGTGGCTAGAGAAGACAAGTTATTGCCTCTATGGAACACTACACTGGGCTCATCACAGCTTGTGGGAAAAGAATAGTTCCTTACTAGAGTATCGTTCTGAAAGCCAGCTAACTTCCATTAAGCAACAGAACAATCGCTATCACAATGCAGGTGAATGCTTGGTAAATGTTATATGTTCTGACTGAAAAAAACTGTTCTCCACAAAGAAACCACCGAACAAAAGACTTTCTCAATTTAAGGCTCGAGTTTTGCACACCCAAGAGCTGCATCTTACACTTGGACCGATCTATTAGCTGAAAAGTGATCCAGCTGCCTTAATGTTCTATCTTTGGTTTGCAGACATACGAGTGGTACAAGGATTTAAAAACGGGTATCTGCAAACAGAATACCATCCTGTCTGTGTACTTTTTTTCTGGAACATAACGAATGTAAAAAAGCGGGAGGGAGGAGATAAGCAACACTTGTGGGTGCAGAGATATGGGGAGCCTTCACTGCACCAAGGGGAAAACAATACACCAATTTTCGAGTCTCTCTTAAGAGGAATAGGTGACAACATTTCTGAATGTTTTTTAACGTTACAGAGAGGGCCCACGGGGGTCATAGCATGTGTGCAGGTTAGGGAACAACTTTCAGGAGCTGTCTCTCCTTCCACCATATGGATTCCAGATGGAACTCAGGTTGCCACTTACCCAGTGAGTCATCTCACTGACCTATAGTTTCAAAGAACCAGACTCAAACCCTATGCAAACTAGATACATAAGATATAATTTTATCAATCCAATTAGCATGCTTCTATAACTCACACTGATAATTATTACCATTTCAATACATATTCAAATGGGTGATGCCTTGTCCCTTAGGAATCCCACTAAATCATGAGAATTTATTTCAGTAATTTTTAAAGGTCTATGAAGATTCCCAAGTCACCTGAACATCAAGTTTCAATTGTATTTTTGTTTTTGTTTTTAAAGTTACTTACAATTAAGAAAAATATTGGGGGAAAAATCACTTTTCTGGGCATTAAATCCGTATTTGGTTGTATTGTTTTGTGATGTCCACTATCAATCTATAATATCTCAGCTTCTTAGTCAAACTGTAAAGTTGCCCAGCCATTTCATATTCCGCTAGATAATTTCAACAAGGCCTTCTCTCATCTCATTAATGGTAAACCATAAGTAACTATTTTAGAAGCCAGGGATCTGTAAAACCAGCCAACCAAACAAACAAAACATGCCAAATAACTAAAGTAAATCTATTTTAAACATCGAATGAGTGTTCTCTCAGGAAGATAGCTTTAGACGTAGCCTTCGTTTTTACAGTCTCCATGGTAACTGAATATAAAATCAGTCCACATCTGTTTCTTATAGAAGGAAATCATCTCCCACCTTTGTGGAAAGCCACCCTCCACATAACCATGCACCAAAGTCCCCACGTAAGTAGTGGCAAACACATACCTCTGAGTGCCCAGGTACCTCGATTTTTTAAAATGACCAATCCCCTTGCAGCCGAGAGTTGGACATCCCCCGGTTTCTGATGGCTCCATTAATTCTGCAGGACCTACAAAATAATAATAATAATAATAATAATAATAATAATAATAATAATAATAATAAAAAGAACAGGTAAAAAAAGATAAATATAACAAGAAGGAGAGCAGAAAGCTAAAGATTTAAATGTCTATGATGAGAATAGGGCAAAGGAAAAATACTCCATTTCTGGAACAATTTTCTCTATATATAGAAAAACAAGTAGTTCTTGTAAAAATTTTAAATTTTTTCACATCTCTATTTTTATATATAATTCTTCATGGTTCATTCTATCACCACATTTATATTTCTTTAATACTGAGATGACAAATTGTGATCCAACCTTATTTTAAGATGTCAGACAACAGAGATATTTAAATCTGACTTGACAGGGATATCTGAAAGAACTGTTATCAAATAAAAAAAATGCATAAGAATATTCGACGTGAAAATGTCAAACACAAGATCATATAATCTGAAATATAAACGCTGTGTTGGAACCACCGGAGCCAACTAAGCAGCCAGGCTAGAATGCACAGGAGCAGTTACCAACATCAGCAGCTCTTCATCTCATACTCTCCATCACCACCCACCAGTGCGGATGAGTGCCCTCCTAGCTACGGCTCCAGCATTTCCATGCACAGCTATATCAAGTTCAGGATTGCCATTCTGCTTCATAAAAGGTACAACACAAAGGTGTATCTGAAACAGCCTCACCTGGCTTTCTACCTGTCTTTCACATTTTACAACATTAATATTCTTCACGAGTATGTTACCTACACAAACTACACGCCGTAGTTTATTTAACTAATACTTGCACTTTGTTACTTTAGACATTCTTTGATTAGAAATATACACTCCTATGACTATGCACCCTCGGTCTGCATACAGCACACATGAATCTACTCACTTAGTATAGGGAAAAATTATTTTAAAAAACTGACTGTAGTATAATGTATTTCCCATGTTTTCTCATACAAGGTACATATTCCTTAAAACAGATAATGGTATCTCTTTCTCTCTCTCTCTCTCCTCTGTGTGTGTGTGTGTGTGTTATATGCTTTTTTTACAGAACAGATTTTAAATCTTCATTGAGTGAACTATAAATTTGCACATAGAGTAAATCACAAAGCAGAGGCTGGCCTCTTTTATACTTTGCCCAGTTTCTGGCAATGATAACATTTGCAAGGCTACAGTATCAGATCACTATTAGGATACTGAAATTTTAACAGTCTGACAAATTGTCTTCTAAAAATTAAATATAAATATAAAATGTCATGTTTATTTCTAAATAAAACTCAAAACAGCATACCTTACTTAGACAACAGGATTTTTCTTTTATAATTGTGTCTGAGCGTGAGTGTGTGTATGCACGGGTGCATGTGTGCGTGTGTGTGTGCATGTGTGTGTGTGTGTTGGTGGCAATCAAAAGAGAAGAAATAGAAAGAGATGGAGAAAGAGGAGACAAAAACATAAGCGCATAATTAAAGGAAATGAAACTGTTGATGATGATTATCTAAGTGTATCTTACTTAGTGGAGCCTGAAGTGGGTGTCCAGTTTTGGAACACCAGCCTACAGGGTGAATATCTGGAGAGTCTGCATCTATCCAGTAGTCATAGCAACTACTCCAGCCATCAAAATGAACCTGGTAACAGAAGAAACACAGAGTCATAAGAATTCCTACAGCAAAACTCCCATCCGGTACATGAATCCTTTTGACTTACACAGTGTATTTAATGTCCAATAAACCATTTCAATTATTTAAAATACTTCACTCACAATCTAAAATAAAGACGATTTTGAAATTACCAACAAATTATCTAAATATCAATAACTGCCTTCCCAAAGATGCATCTGAGGCAGCAGCTCTACAGTTATTATGCATATCCTTATGCATATCCTTAAACACTGTGAGCAAATGAAAACTAGGAACCATGGATAACATCTTCAATCGAGCAAATGAAACACAAACACTGCTGAGATGATTTAAAAATCAGGGGAGGGGGAAACGGGAAGAGCAGAAAGGAAGACCTTTGAGATAAATATAAAGTAAGGTTCTTTTTTTTTAAAAGTATAAAACATCCCTGAATTATACCGTTTTAAAATAGTCTTCCTCTTTTATAAAGATTTATTTATTTTTATTTTATATGTATGGGTATTTTGCCTGCATGGGTGTCTGTGCCTCAGGTGTATGTCTGGTGACCACAAAATCCAGAAGAGGACATCGAGGGGTTGTTGCCCCCCCCACCCCCAGAACTGTAGTTGCAAACAGTTGTAAACCTCAATGAAGAGGGTTGGGGAGTTGGGGATTAAATCTGTGTCTTCTTGAAGAGCAGCTAGGGCTCTTAACCACTGAGCCATCTCTCCAGCTCCCAAATAGTCTTTCTTGTAAATATACATAGTATCTCTCAAGATACATCATCAAGTGGTCACAGTTGACATTGTTACTGGTCACTAAAGTAAAAAGCAGTGATGTCACTAGTTACAGCTACCTATTTTAAGTGTATATACACTATATATGCATTGTATATACACACGTAGTAATATATGTATGTACATGTATATTACATATATATCACCTTTTACAGAAAGGATATAATTAGTACTTCATATATTTTACTTTTAGGTTGTTTGACAATTAGAGTCTTCTGAAGTGTATAACTCTTTCAATCTTTACAAGACAATAAATATTCTAGGAGAATGCATGAGTAAATAATACAATCATGGCAAGAGACCAAACTAAGTCCATAAAAAAACTGATCGATTTAATTACATAAAAATTTAAAGCTTCAGGTGGTAAAGTTCACCATAAGCAAGATGAAAGACCCCCAAACACACTATACAAGTTCACAAAGCCCTTTCTCCTTACTAAGCCCCAATCTATCAAAAAGAAAAAATGAAAACTGCAACAGAAAGATGGTAAAGATACAAATGGCTCATTATTGAGAAAATAAATATAAAGTGATGGTAAATATATGAAGAGACAATTTATTTGCAATGTAAAGCTTATAAATTAAAAGTACAAGATACTATTCTCTCATCAGCCTGCTCAAAACATGCACATTTTGTTGAGCCCTACTGCTGGAAGCAGAAACATAAAGGGAATTCCTATAGACCATAAAGTCCGGAGAGTTATTTGGCAAAAGCAATCAACATTAAAATATATTGTCTTTGACTTATCAGCTGGGCGTTGGTGGTGCAAGCCTTTAATCCCAGCACTACGGAGGCAGAGCAGGAGGATCTCTATGAGTTTGAGGCCAGCCTGGTCTACAAAGTGAGTTCCAGGACAGCCTCCAAAACAATACAGAGAAACCCTGTCTTGAAAAAACAACAACAACAAAAAAAAAGTCTGACTCATCAAAAATGATATTAAAAAGTAACTCATCATTTATAGGAAAAGTAGCATGCAATTTTTAAAAATAAATACACGTGTATGTGAGCTGGAAATAATGTAATCTCTCAAGCCTACAAATAAAGTTTTTCTAGAATTAAAGCTCTAAAGACTACTTCTCCTGGAAGAAGTCATGGATACCATACTAAAGAAGGGATAGAGCTCACAGAGACAAATTAGATTGCTAATAAGCAGACAATTAGCAGGAATCAGACTATGAATCAGAAATAAAGTAACCTACTATTCACATACAAAAAATAGAAAGCATTATTTAAGGTTAGTTAGCTTTGAATGCTTTCCTTTCATTTGATCAAAAATAATGTCAAAACAACAATGAGAATGATAGTCATAATTTACCCAAGATTTTGCCCTGTGTTCTCAGTTTCCTGAGGTAAACTATGGTATAAAAAATGTCAAAGGGAGAATTCCATGTTGTGATAAAAAGAGAAACCTGTTTCATACAACATTTTGTAGTATATTGCCATAATTGTCCTATAGTTGTTGTTGTTACTTTTTCTATATCTAGTGCATACATTATACTTTATTACAGTATGTATGTACATATGTACAGATAAAGCTACAATATATATGGAATTTTATGTGTGGCTGCAGGCATACACTAGAGATCTTGGAAGATATCCCCTATAGACAAGAGAATATAAGCCTATTCATATATACAAGAATATAAACATATTCACAAAAACACCTCAAGTATGCTACCTTTGTCTTAATGTGAAGACACCCAGGACTACCTGACATGTGAGAACCAATATGGAAACAGAGGCCATGCTAGTGAATAAAGACATTTGGGTGGCGGCTGGAGCAATGGCTCAAGGGTTAAGAGAATCTGCTGTTCTCACAAAGGGCCTGACTTTAGTTCCTAGCATCTGTATCCGGTGGCTCACAATTACCCATTAACTCCAGTTCCAAGGGCCTAATGCCCTCTTCTGGCCTCCAAAGGCAGTTGTGCAGATGTGCGTGAGCATGCGCGCGCACACACACTCACACACACACAGACATGCACGCGCACACATACAAATAAATAAATAATAATATTTTAAGAAGAATTTAAGAAAATAATCAAGGAAGAGAAGAAAACTACCAGTGTTATCCTCAGACAGAAAGCAACATTGATTGCTTCAGGAAATAAAATAATACTTTTTTTAAAAGAGGCAGAAATTCAATATTATTTTTAAAAGTTTCTTGAAAAGCACACAAAAAAAGCACAATTGTAATTAAGAATTCAATACAAACTTTGAAAAAGAGATGAAGGTAGTTCTAAGCAAACAGAATCTTACGACATCAGCAACACATAAGAAAACAAGAGGGTCAACGTCAGAGCAGCAACGTCCAGCAAGAGAGCAGAGACTAGGAAGCCAGCAAAGCAAAAATAGGATGGATATCTCAGAGCCTGCAAGGCAGAAAGCTCCACAGTGGGAAGGCTTGAGGACCAGTTTGACAAACGGAAAGATGCTATCACAGAGCTGGAGACCATCAGGGACAGCCATCCCCAAGTTCTCCAGAAACAAGCCCACGGCCCAAGAGATGCAATCAGACTGCCTTGGGTATCTGAAAGCTCCAGGGGTGAGATGCAGCAGAACATGCAGAACTGAGGATCAAAGCTCCCTCCCTAGAACCCCTCACCTAGTGCACTAACAGTCAAATATAAGGCAAGAAGATGGACATTTTTCTCAAATGCATGGAGTGAAAAACCCTTTTTTAGGAAAACACAAAAAGACATGTTTCAGTGGGACAAAAGTACACCAAGTAAAACAAGATGTGCCACTATACTTTGTAATTTTCAGGAAAATGAAATACAACCTAGTGTGTCAGTAAAAATGAGTCTCGGGATGCAGACTGTGGGCCTGGCAGATGAAGAATTGTGGGAAAAACAGTTCAAGAGAAAGAGATGGCTATCAGCTGATGTCAAAAATACTTTGAAACTACTATAGCATCTGAAAAAAAAACCTACTAAGAAGCTAGGAATTGTTAAAAAGAAAACTACAAAAGATCACTGACTACAGGAAAACCAAAAAAGTAATTTTAAAAGACTTGACTTAGAAATGAACAAGACTAGTATATTCATAATAACTCAGGCAAGCAGGGGGAAAAAAGAAAAGAAAACATGGCAAGATCTAAATCCTGAGGTCCAGTAACAGGAAGAAAAAAAGCAACTTAAAATTGAACTGAGAAGCTGGTGTACTGGTGCTCGCCTTTAATCCCAGCACTCGGAAGGCAGAGGCAGGAGGATTTCTGTGAGTTCCAGGCCATCCTGGTCTACATAGTGAGTTCCAGGAAAGCCACCTGTCTAAAAACCAACAATGAAAACTGAAATGAGAAATACCAGTGCATAGAAAGGTATTTCACAAACTGGAGACAAACTGTCACACATAGCTTCAGTAGACAATGTGACTGAAGAGGGATGCAACACTACTTCATGTCCTGTCCCCAAAGCAGAAGACGAGTGCATTCATTCTGGCCCTTGCTTTCAACCGCAGCCAGCAGGAACTGCTAACATTACAGTTTCTATTGTACGGAAACAACAATTTATATAACAGTTTTGTTTTATTTTAAACATTATTGCCTTATAAATTATCTCATTATAAACAGACAATGATTTATTATTATTTTGAAAGATGAGCTTGAAGTTAAGATTCCTGCTCCATGGAACTGAGAGTTCATTCCTCTCCGGGACGGAATAAGCTGCTTTGTCAAATCTGCCTGATCTTGGCCTCATCAGTACAGGGATAACGGCTCACCTGCCCACACTGAAGAGACTGCAAATGTCTCTTCAGTAGACTGAGAACCTCACTGCTGATGTTGACTTGTTTCTAGAGACATTGTTATTCCTAACAGAATAGCTGCCCCGAGGGAAAAAGTAGGATAGGTGTGATTCTGGCTAAAGAGAGAAATGAGTGGTAAAACCAGAAGCCTATGAGGCCTATGGTCATTGCATCCGAACCACTATACCTGTACCATATGTGGACACAACCAGCAATATCTTCTAGACACTGGCTTACTTTGAGAGAGGTATATGGTGTCCATTAATCCAATTGCAGTAAAACTCTGATTTTATTTTTAAAGTTATTTATCTCTACTTACACTTTATAAACTATATCTAATGGAGTCAACGAAAAATTAATCTCTTAAAAAGCAGGTACTTCCATTCTAGAAGTCAAAGGTCTCCTTTGATCATCCCTAAGCCCTCAGAGAAAGCCATATTAATGAATGGTTAGTTACTGGGGACCAGAGATGAGATGTTTTGTCACACTACTCGTGTCCTCCTTCCTTTGTATCCATCTTAAGCTTGTTTATATTTCATGCCCCTAATTAAATTACTCATGTCATGAGGGAAAAAAAAAGCAGGTACTATTGGAGCATGCTAGACTCATTTTTTTTTCTCCTGAAGAGACTATTACCTCAATATGCTATGTCTACTTTCTCCAAACACAAATTCAAAAATATGAAGCTGTCATTCATAATTAAAGAGGAAATATCTTGGGGAAATTAAAGGAAACACTTGAATGGACGCAGTGGCAAAGCCACTTTGTATATTCCTGTGGTTTTAGTAATTTAATTGCTGGGCTTAAGTTCACTGTCTAGTAAAGTTTCCATTTAAGATACAGAGTAACAAAGGCCAAAACCAAACACCCGGACCAAGAACACTTACCTTGATCCGGTGATCATCTGTATCCGCTACAGTTGCTACTCTGATAAACAAGGGATTTCTTTTGTCCACAGCTTCAAGCTTCATTTTTTTCTGGAATCCATGTGGAGGTTTCTATCATAACAGAAAGATGTCATGTGTTAAGAAAGAGCAGGTTGATAGACAACAGTAAGCAAGCAACAGTTGAACTGTTTAGGTTACCCATTCTTAGACTAGCACAGAGTGACACTTTTTAGTCAAAACACACAGCTCAGCACACATGGAAAGGGACATCCTGATTGTCTAGCTGAGGAGAAGATGGACAGGCAGAGGCCAAGGAACCATAGCTATTTGATCAGCCATAGGGAAGACTAGACATTTTCCTTACGGGTTGAGGTGTAATGGTAAAGTCAATCGGCATGTTTCTGTTGTTGTTTTGTTTTTGAGGTGAGTAAAAAGCTTGTCATCTTATTGCCTTCATAACAAAATTGGCTTAGAACTGGATCACTTGGCCCTTTCTCTTCAATCGCCTCCGAGTTTAAAACACTTGCATCTCTTACTAGCCAGCATCCTCTTAGGTCTGTAGTTGGGTTTAACACATTCAAGTCTCAGCAAGGCCTTCTTCGTAGTTTTGCCTTTTTGTAGAGAATAGGCTTAGTCTGCCCACCCTAGCCACTGTTGCCTGTCATAGCGCCACTTTCCCTGGGCATACAAATAACCCTTGCCCTTCTTGTCCTGGGTCACTTTATGGGGTTGGGGCTTGTCAAACTTCTTGCAGAATGTCTGTCAGGCCTTAGGAATGTTCACCCTGTTTTCAGGAGCGATGTTGGCACAGAATGTGAAATTTGTTTTTCAAAAGAGAGAAAAACAAAGTATCTGAGATGAAAAATCTAGAAGTGGTAAGGGGTGGAGGCCAATTTAAAACAAACCAGCAATTCAGCTGAACAAGATGGGACAGCTCTTCTAGGAAAGAAAGCTTAACACTCAGAGGAAACCATTATGTCTCTGAGAAAGCACGGGCAGAGGACAACAGTGAATAATCAGTATGGCTTTGGTAAATTATATGAAATAACATGAAGGCCAGAACAATTGCTGCAGGGATTCTTGATGGTCAAGCTGGAGAAATAGGACAGCAGACATGTGGCCTGATGTTGCCGCTCCTGTATCCAGCTTAAAAGCCTGCATGTAGGAAGGGTACAGAAGAGAGCAAATACGGCACCCCTCAGTCTTACTCTTAAGCCTGGACAATCTTCAGGTGGAACCATAGAATTTCGTTCGTAGAATTTTCCACTGTGTTTTTTTCTCTTTAAAAGTCATGATGCTCTTTCTATCTGTATCTTAAAATGTACTTACTTACTAAGTCCACAGTTAAAAACTCTAGCAATTTTTGCACAAAAGTATCATCGAAGAAGAAAATTGTCTACAGAAGACAGAGTCATATTTAGAAGAATAGTATTTGATTTGAAACAGGATCTCTGTACATAGCCTGACCTGGCCTTGAATTGTGGATTCTTTAGTCACCTCTCAAATGTCAGGATGATAAATGTGTCCAGTGCCCAACTCTTACAAAATTATTTAATATTTATTTTCCCCATAAAGTAACATATTTAAGCAGCTGGGGAGATAGTTCAGTTGGTAAAGCGCTTGCCTTGCAAGTTTGCTCCCAGAAAATCCACATTTGGAAAGTGGGCATGGTGGTACCCCTGTGATCCCGGGGAAGGGGGGGTAGAGGCAAGCAGATCTCTGTGGCTCACACCAGCCAACCTATCCTACTTGCTAAGTTTCAAGGCAGTGAGACGCCCCGTCTCAAAAGTCAAGATGGGCAGCATCTGAGGATACCATTCAAGGTTTTTCCGCATCCCCCCTCCCAGGCCTGCCTCCCCAACACGTGTGCACCCACATACACCAGGAACAATTTTGCATTTAGAAATAGAAAAGCTTGGAAAGTTCTTTGGCTTCTTGCTTCTTCTCATTGCTAAGCCAGATGACCGAGTTCTTAAAGGTCCGGGAGTCATCAGCACACACAAATGAAAGAGTACAAAGCAAATTCTCTCACCACTTTGAAAGCTCTTGCAGGAGCAGGTAAGGAATTGGTTTCTTCTAAATATTTATCCCAAGAAAAGTGTTTCACGTGTGAATAGCCTAGGAAATAAGGAAAAACATGAATCCTATGAGGGTGTCATTAAAATGAGAGTGAGACTAACAAACTGTCCTATAAAAGTCATGACACATCAGCAGGCTAGCCCAGGAAAGAATGAGCAGGTTCGGACATTCTCCTCCAGAGCTGTTATTCAATATGACTGGCTCCATTCTGGTCATTTACCCTGACTCTTGGTTTTTCAGATGAGCTTATACAAAATAGCTTAATTAAAATTGTGAAATAATACATAGGATTTACACATATTATTTATGAAATATTTCGGATAGCTCCTTTTATTAGGCCGAATAAAGAAGTTTACATCAGAGAATATTTTTTAAAATGTGTAAAAACAACCCCTCTGCCTCCTCCCCACTGCCTTCTGTTCCCTCTAGAGGCCTAGATCCATTAGACTAGCACAACAGTGGCCTATTACTGTGCAAAATTTGCCACATGAAGAGAACTTACAAAATTTGCAAATATATTAGTTATCAAAGGGACTCAGGTTTCTACGCAACTGAGAAACAGGTACAAACACGAAGAGAAGAAAACTAAAATGAAGCCAATAGTTTGCGGTTTGAATCAGGGCCAATGGTATCAATGAGAGGGTTTCTAGCGCACGCTGGTGCCCAAGTAGAAAAGAATACAAAGTTCTGTATGTGCTTACAGATTCCTACAGCCACTGAGATGCCTGATACAGCATCACCTCACTAGCAGTGAGCAAACAGCAACCAGATCAAGGTTTCTAAATAGCACTATACAAATCCCTGGAAAGAATGGCTATCAGGCTGGGTCACGACAAGTGAGTATATGATACTGTTTGTAGAAACTGAGACAAGAGTGTGAAAAGGAGGTAGCGACCTGCTTAAAGGAGCTCTTTCTGGGTACATCTTCAAAACATCTCCATGAAAGTCAACAGCAGGCTCTTGGGTAAAGTTAGTAATATACAGTTCTACTGAAGAAGTTAACTAGATGAATAACAGGGAAATGAAAGGTGAATGTTTGCAGAAGAGTCTCAATTAATTATGTGCAAAAATAGATGGAATAAGAAAAATTACCATTAGCCATTATAATTTGTCAACTTACAATAGTTATTAGTTATAGACAGAATATTAGCAGATGGCATAACTACTCAAAGACAGATGAGATAAGAGGTAACTACAAAATCTCAAAAATATCTAGAAAAAAAGTATTGGTAGAAAAGACTAGCAAATATCTCCTTGATTAATACATGGTAAAAAGACAGACTGAAATGCCTTGCCTTGCCCTTGAGTGGATTACAATGAGAACACTGTGATAGTACTCAAAAAGGAAAAACAAGCACAACTTGGAAATGGGCATAAAGGTACTTTCCTTAAGTCCCACCATTCAAAAGGCAGAGGTAAGTGGATCTCTGTGACTCCCGAGACCAACCTGGTCTATGGAGTGAGTTCCAGTCCAGCATGGCTACCTGGTAAGATCATCTCAAAAAACAAAACAAAAGAAAAACAAACAAATGTACAACTTGGGTCCACTCACAAGGAAAAGTCAATCACACCTAAATAACATCACTCTGTACAAAATGATGAGTCTGCAAGTCACACACATACCAAGGCTATAATTGTCAAGGAGAATCGAACTAGGGACTAGAAGACTCAGTGCAAGATGCTTATGCATATATGGAGACAGTTGTCAAACCTGAATGAGTCTCTTCTGGCTTAAGTGAAGTACAAATGAGTTTGGAAGTAGTCTTGACACCTCTCTCCACCAGAGGATGTTTCAAAGTAATTAAAAAGGAAGTATGCAAGCCTACACATACACACATGCATTTTACAGCATATTTGATGACCTAACTTTGTACATTTTAACTTCAATCTGAACATTCTCTAAAACGACACAATAAACAGAAAGAGCTAATAAACCTTTAAAACAGTGAAGAGTGAAAACTGTGGCTGTCTCCATTTCATTTTAAAATCAAACATGTATTAAGATATAATTCAGAAAACTAAAAATAAAAGTAGTTGTATGCAATCAACACACACATATATATAAATTATTTTAGTATCTTATCAAATCATAATTGAATGAAATTAAAAATCAACAGCAAGAGAAATCACAGAAATGACACTTGAAAATTGTACAACATATTCTTGAGTGAACAGTGGGGTCACCGAAGAGAGGAGGAAAGAAAATTTAAGACTTCCTAAAATAAAAACAAGCACGGCTTACTTAAACTGTTAGGATACAGATACGGCAGCTCTAAGAGGAAAGTTCACAACTGCGAGAAGTTTACACTAAAACAAACAAACAAACAAATAAACAAAAAAGAAAATCAAGAAACCCAGAGGGGTGGAGAGACAGTTCAAAGGTTAAGAGCACTGGCTGCCCTTCTAGAGGTCCTAAATTCAATTTCCAGCAACTACATGGTGGCTCACAACCACCTATAATGGGATCTGGTGCCCTCTTCTGGCCTGCAGGTGTACATGCAGATAGAACACTCATACACAACACACATAAATAAATAAATCTTTTTTTAAAAATTCAGAAACATTTCAAATAAATTACCTGATAGAGCATAAGCTCTTAGAAAGAGAAAAGCAAACCAAACTCCAGGGTGGTAAGTAACAAGATATAATAGAGATCCTAGCAGAAAACTGAGAAACAATATATTTAATCACTCGAGCAAAGAGTTGGTTCTTTGAAAAAATAAACCGGATTGACAATTTTTTTTTTTAGCAGAACTATCCAGAGAAAATGAAAAGCCACAATAATAAAATTAGAGATGAAAACAAACTACAAATAAATTCTGAGAAATATTAGGGAAACCTTTGAGTGCATATTCAAAACAAACAAACAAACAAACAAAAAAAGGCGGGGGAACTCTAGGAAAAAAAAATCCAAGATATGTACAAGTTACCTAAATGAAAGGAAGAGGCTGTGAGTAATCAAACAAACACACAACAAACTACACAACTAAAATGGCAATACAAAGTCTCCCAACAAAGGAAGCCCAGACTGAACGAACGAATTGCTAATTTCTTCTAAATCTTTAAGGAAGAATGCACACTAACACTCCTCAAACTGTATCATCAGTACCAAACTCACTCCATGAAGTCAACATACTCTCATACTTAAACCTGGTAAAGACACGCACATAAGCACACACACACACACACACACACACACACACACACACACACACCACAAACCAGTTTTCCTGGTGAACAAAGACATAAAAGTTCTCAAAACATAAAAGAATGAAACTAGGTCGTTATCTCTCAACACACATAAAAATGAATAGACTCAGATACACCTGTAAAAACCTTAACTCCAAATATCAAAAAGCTCTGGTGAGAATAAGATGTACCCTTATACGCTGCTGGTGGGAACACACACCGACACAGCATTATGTAGAACTACCATGAGATGAAGCCACTCCTACTGCATGTGCAATTCTGTATTATTAAAAACTAGAAGTCCAAGTCTGGATGCCACAGAGCTACATGCATTGTGTTTAGAGCTAACCTACCCATATTAGCCAAAATATAGAAAAAATCTAAAGGCCCATTATCAGATGAATAAAGCAAATGTGGCATGTATACACAGTGGAATTTCAGCTAAGGAGGAATAAAATTATGATGATTTTAGGAATATGTGATTAAAATAAGCCGGGCTCAGAAAAACAAGTATCTCATATTTTCTTTCATATGCAGTACCTCGATTTCAATTTATAAATTCATTGATGTGTGTGTGCGTATATATATATATGTATATATATATATATACGCACTCAATACTCAATTATTTTAAAAGGCAAGAATTTTAATTTCAAAGAAGGAATGATAAAGACAGGCATATTTACAGAATACATTAACACAGTGTAGCCAGGAAGACTGGTCAGGAGATAGACAGCATATATAGTAAAGGTGACAGAAAAGTTGTCCAAGGAAACTGAGCGCTTAGACCCTTCTTTTCAGACAAAAGGTAAGACTAAGCCCTCCAAGGGAAAGGAACCAGGGGAAAAGTACATTTTTGTAAGGAACAAGACCAACACATGCATGGTAAATCAGGCTCATAATTTGACTGGGATTCTTCGTTGTTATTCCTGTTTTTACAATTTTTTTAAATTGTGGTAAAAATTTATGTGACACTCGATGTATCATCTTCGGTTTACAGTTCTGTGTCATTAAAACACAAAATGATAGCTGACATTTTCACACGCAGTTCTGTACTTTTAAAGGCTCGTCAAAAACCACAACAAAACAACATTGGTATTTTCTTCCATTTCATTACAAAAGTCTATGAAAGGTGATGGAGGACTTGGTTTGGGCCTCACACACCCCTTCTCAGGGACAGCATCAGGAACCTGTTATTTACTGGCTCACTGTTTATTTACCAGACTCTGATGATGACAAGCTAGGGCGTGTGACAGAACTGATATTAAGCTGAGTGACAACAAGAATCCTCATAGCAGATGGTGGTGCTGCCAGGGCCAACTCTGTGACCACCAGCATAAGACACCTTCCAGACCACACCAGGTTTGAGTCATAGACTATTAATATTTTGCTTTAACTCTCTGCTACTTATGTCTCTTTCATCTTCAAACTAGCTATGGAAATTAGTCAGGAAGTAGGTTCTACTTTTTTCCCTTCCACCTACAAGAAAAGTTTGAAAGTGAAAAAGGACCAGGTGTGCAGGTGACAAGAGTGGGATTCCCTTGTAAGAAGTAATCAGGCATTCTGAGGCTGGCACTGGGTTGAGGGACCAGGGGTGAATCTTAAACACAGACAGCTGTTTGAATGGAATGAAGCGATCTCAAGAAGCTGCAAACCGGGGCTGATCTTATATGCAGCACGCTCCATCCACAGACTCGCTGCCAGGAAACCCAGGTCTCATTTTTCTCTGTGTGATACGGTGGTCTGCTTTACTCTAGCATCCACTCAGCCACCAGCTCCTGAGCAGTAGGGCTTCATGGCAGCTGATGACCCTGCCTTTTCCTACCTGTAGGGACCATGACACTTTCAACAGTGACACGTTCAGAAACAGTCCTTGTTATGATGACACTGATAAACCTATTCTTTAGCACATAAAACCACAAAGACACTATTCATTGGCAGTTACACTGTTTCTTGTCGAAGAGAAAGTGAGCAAAATAAGAAGGTTCCACAGAGAGTGGCAGAAAGCTAAACCCCCATCCCCACGGCCATCCCCAAAGCTTCAGGGAACAGAGATACTAGCTAGCACAAGCTACAAAAATCTATGTTGGAGCTTGAAGCCACAGCAACAGAAACAAAAGCAAATGCATCAGCTCTAAACTTAGCAGAAAGGTCTAAAGCCACAAACTCTCACTTCAACATGGACATCACACCTGCTAGAAATGATCACAACAACGGAGTCTGTGTCCCACCTTCAGGAACACGCCTACTTTTCTTACCTGTCCAAGCTGAGCAGCTGTGCACTAATATAAGTCCCAAAATAAATCCCAAGTTGAAAGAAGACAGAGAGATATTTTATACAAACGTTGTCAAAGAAGATGATAATCTTAAGTTGTGATATAAACTAAGCCAATATGTGATACAGTTGAGGCTCTATTGGGGGTCAGCGAGCTTCCGCCTGCAGCTGGCTGAAGGCTTTGTAAAGTGTATCTGCAACACTCACATTTATGTGCTTGCTTATTTCCCACAGCTGCTTTTGTGCTTCAACCGAGCTGAACAATTATGACAGGGACTCCAGGGCACACCAAATTTAAAGTATCTATGATCTGACTCTTTACAGAACAATGTGGTCAACTCTTCAAGTATATGAAAAACATAGACACATTATAAATCCAAACCTGGTGGAGTAATAAGGGTTCTTCTGTGTTCTTTACACCAACCAACGGGATGAATGTGTGGACTGGATGATTCACACCTGCAAATGACATAAATTAAAAAGCTAGAGTTACTAGAGAGCCAGACAAATACTGCTGGAAAATTTTAAGAGCAAAATTAATTAGCAATTATGAACACATTCAAGAGTTCTGTTTATTACAATCTATCCAATTTGATAAAATGCTAAAGGAGCTTTTATTCTCCACATAAATATATGTATGAAGTTTTCACACATACAGTGTATTTTTGCTAGATAAACATCATATGGATTTGACACTACAGTTTGATTTCCCCATGAGAAAAAAAAAACAAAAACATTGTTAAAGCCTACAACTTCAAAGGCAGAAAAAGTACAAAGAGAGCATCACTGACAAGCATCACTGGAGAAAATAAACTATGTAAAAGGAAAGCTAAAATTACCTTAGCATCTCTAAGGCTCATGGGCAAGATCACTATCAAAACACCCAGCATGCTCTAGTACTTACAAAAACCAGGAAACTTAAGGGGCTGTGGGAAGGGAAGTGTTCAAGGGAGACAGAACACATGTAATGTGAAGAGGGAGGTGGGTAACGGAACAAGGAGAATTAAATGGGGTGAGGGGCAGGGGCAGGGCAGGGGGAGGCGGGTGATAGAACAGGAAAGCTAACTAGCACTAAAGAACTTTAAAATAGCATGTGGGAACCTCCTGTGGCAGGGGCTTCCTAAAAATTAAAATAAATAAAATATAAGCACGTGTACGTACGCACGTGCCCCCCCCACAGTATAAATGGACTTATCCTATAACAGGAATGTAGGATGCTTCTTCGAGATATCATTGACTAGCAAAAGCTCCGGTGCAAATAAGCAAATATATAAATAGTAACAACACGCTATTTCTGTTACCCTTTATAATAAAGGATAGCTGTCCTCTGTATCTGCAGGGGATTGGAACCCAGGACCCCTGAAAATAACAATTCAGAGGTACTCAGGAACCTTATATAAAATGGTGTGATGTTTACATCCTCTGTGTGTGCATCCTTCTGTATACTTTACATCACCCCAGGATTACTTAAAATAGGTAGTACGATGTAAGTATCACAGAATTGTTACGGGCGAATAAAATACTTTAGGCTTGTCCGTGTTTGGTACTGTTGCAGCTGTGACAGGCCTAATTAAATTGATGAGCTGTGCTTGGCACAAAGGAAAGCAGACAGATGAAGGAAAGGAAGAGGCTGAGAACCAAAGATGCTCCTGTATGCAGCCAGTCTAGTCTCTCGTGAGGCAGTATTTGAGCAAATTCTTGAAGGATGTGACGCAAGAGAGAAGTGAGCCCCGCAAACATAGAAAGGAAACTCTTCTGGCTGGAGAGAACAAGTCCGTAAGTTCTGGAGCACCCCAGTTCTGTTCCACGGAGAGGAAAGAACGGACTGAAGGGAGCAGACAACACAAGATGATGTCAGCATGGAAGGCCACGTAGCACATATAACAAAGTGAGGGATTTTAACCAAGAGTGAAGTAAAACGTTGCGGAGGGTGTTAGGCAGAAAAGCAGCTTAGTCTGATTTATGTTTCAAAGTGATGATTTTTAACTAGCACGCAAACAGTAAGCCAGTAATCCACGCTGGAAGCAATCGCCAGTTAGATGGTGACACAAACGATCACAGTGGCCTGGATCTCCACAGTGAGTGACCAGGTTTAGATGAACATTCTAAACAGAACTACGAATATGTGTCAGTACATTTAATACAGGAGGTGAGTGAAATGATGTCAGGGCACCCCAAGGTTCTAGGTATAGGCAACAAGAACGTAGCTGCCATTTTCTGGCTGGAAAATACTGCTAGCAACGGCTCTGTCATGTCAAGTGGTGAATGAAAGAAAGCTCCTGCTATTGGCATGCCGAGCAAGCACGTGCTAGACAAACAAGAAAGAATGTCAAATAAACCATATCTAGAGTTCACTCACAAAGATCAGGGCCCAAGCTATCCATTTGGAAGTTATCAGCCTTTGAGATGATACTTAATCCACGAGCAGACCCGAGACAATCCAGAGAGAGAGAAAGGGGGCGAAGTCCATGTTAGATGTCTAGTAAGTGAAGTAACAGGAGCAACCAGCTGCACGCAGTGGTGCCACAGATCAAAGGAGAGGCGAGGCTAGGCGTGGGGCCTGTCAACAGAAAGGTCTCTCGTATCAGTGACAAGAGTACCACACCAAAGCGAGAACTAAACGGAGACTGAACGGAAGGAGACGACGAAGACAGAAAGCACAGCTAAGGAGCTCAGTTACAAATGGATGCAGAGAAGGGAGGCATCAGAGAGCAGAAGTAAAGATTTGTTTTCTGGCTTAAGTTGGAAAAATGATAGACATGGGGTGGGGTATGAACGAGAAAAAGAAATAAGAAAGGAGAGGACATGACTGGTCCTGGGTTTTGGGACCAGGCGAATGGAAAAAAGAAATTAAAAAAAGGAAAGGAATGAGTACTCGTAGGTATGGTGGAGAAGGTTTATTACAGGTCTGCAGGAGAGCACAGTCAGAGGCAGGGACACTGGGAGAGTCCAGAGTGGACACGACCCTGAGTCATGTGAGGAGAGGGGGGGAGAGGGAGGGGGAGGAGAAAGAGGGGTGCAGCATCCAAGAGGCCCAAAAGAGGAAAGGCAACCAAAAGTGGTTGAATTATACAGGGAGAAGAAGCTGCAGGATGGGCAGTCCAGCCCCTGGGCTGGAGAAGTTTAAGGTAGGTTGTGGGGGATGCCAGCCTTGAGTGCCCTGTAATGGGCAGGGACTGAGGAGTTCAGGGAGAACATGGAGGCTAGTGTTTGATATGCTAAACAGGCACCTCAGTCATTTGTCCCAGGTTTGAAATCTAACAGGGTGCATATGGGAAATTTCTAATTTAAAATTACTTGAAAAATAAAAGTTGGATTAAAAAAAAAGAAATAAAAACGTCAGTTAAAAAAGAAATAGTTGCTGAACAAAGCCCGTGACGGGGGCATCCCATGTGCTGAGGATATGTCAGGCTTTCAAAAACACTTCTCTTCCCTCACCCCTCACGTGTGCATGGGTAAGAAGGACTCAGAAAGGGTGACGTGCTGGTGCCCAGGAGAGGACAGGCAGTCAGAGGGTGCCCCCGGCCCCCGCCAAGCAGCTGAGCTACTTGTTATCATTTCCAACATTTCCGGGGACCCACGGCTGCACGTGTGGCTATCAGCATTCAGGTAAAATATTTAAGTCACCCCAGGTGTTAGCATTTCCGGAGATGCTTGCACGTGTGGCCATCAGCATTCAGGTAAAATGCCTAGTCTGCCCAGCATTCAGGTAAAATGCCTAGTCTGTCCAGGGCCATGTAATTTATGCACATGTGTGGTATGGTTACCTAAGCCCCCATAGGCATGCACTGAGCAAATCTTTAAAAGTAGACACACCCGCTCTGCTCTGCTCCTCCCTCTCTCTCTCTCTCTCTCTCTCTCTCTCTCTCTCTCTCTCTCTCTCTCTCTCTCTCTCTCTCTCTCTCTCTCTCTCTCTCTCTCTCTGTGTCTCCACCCCCTCTCCCTTTCCCACTCTCTACTAATGGGCTTTGTTGTACATTTCGTGGTCTGTTCTGGAGCACGGCAAATAACACTAGTCACCCAGGTGGAGATCAGGAAGGGGAGCCCAGTGAGGTGCAGGGGGAAGGAGTCTCTTCTCACTGTGCTTTCCTTCCTCGGTTAACATCTGTTTGCATCTCAGTTAGCATCCCAGAAACATCTGTTTGGAGAGGGGCCAGAGTGAGAGAGAGTAAGAAGTCTGAGAGAGGAGACAACCAGAAGGAAATGGGATCCGGAGGAGTACACAAGGAGAGGGAGGCAGGGATTGGGGGTCCAGCTGATGTTGACAGCCACAAATGGAAGATCACATTGGTCAGCATGTGGTGTCCCCAGCTATTTCCAAGGGTCAGACACAGACACAGTAGGCAGGAAGTGGGTTCAACCTGCACTGGATGCCAGGCAAGTATACAGTAAGAAGACAAAGACTGCTTTAAAAGGTAGTTACAGCAAATAATAGAGAGTAACAAGAGGCTTACAGGCACACCACAGCATCGTTCTTAAAAACTGGTTAGGAAAACAAGTATTCTGAAACGTACACACACAAATACACATGAGAAAGAGAGAGAGAGAGAGAGAGAGAGAGAGAGAGAGAGAGAGAGAGAGAGAGAGAGAGAGAGAGAGAGAGAGAGAGAGACGCAGAGACAGAGAGACAGAGCGAGAGAGACAGAGAGAGGCAAGGACAGAGACAGAGAGACAGAGATGGGAGAGACAGACAAACAGACATCACACCAGACCTGGAGTCCAGATATACGTAACATGTCAACATACTCCACTTTCGAGAATTTGACTGTTGTGGAAAACTCAGCTTGGGAAATAGTGGTCTAAAGGTCACCAGGAGCCAGAGTCCAGTCTCGCTCTATACCCAGATCTGTTGTGTCCAAGAGATTCTGGAATACCAACTGGGCCTTCTCCATGGAAAACTAGAATGCAGAATGCCAGGAAGTTCTAGAGGACTTGGGTTTGATTCCCAGGACCCACATGGCAGCTCACAAACATCTAGAATACCAGTTCCAGGGGGATCTGATGCTCTCATCTGCCATCAGTGAGCTTGCAAGCACATGATACACAGACACATGCAGACGAAACACTCCTTCACATAAAAGCTAGGTGACCATCAAGTTCATCTATTTTCTTAAGATTCTCCAATATACAACTCCTTATGATGTACTGTTATAATTATATTAATAGGGCTATTTGGATACCCTCAGTCTTTCTTAATCATTTTGGATATAGATTTTCACTGATGGTGTGGTACCTTTAAGAAAGTTGTTTCTATTTCAGCAGCCCTTATGGACTGGTTAGTCTGCTTCTCTTGTGACACAAAAAAAGGCTATTGGTCTCTTTAGAATAACGACTGTGCTATATTCCCCTCCACTGACCTCTGCATTTTAAAAACCTCAGAAGCCTGCTTTTCTCAGATTAGTACTCTTGTGCTGCATTAAATGCAAAAGCTTTACAGCAGAAACTAAGTTGGGAAGTAT